AAAGTATGAGGAATGTGACAGTACATTATTGGTAAAGAGGTCCAGTGAGTAAGACGCATATCGCACAGATCGGTACGGCCGACGTCATACTTTGCGAATCGGACGATTCGCTAGCGAATCGAGCGAATCGCTAGCGAATCGAATCGCTGGCGAATCTGTAGCGATATCGTCTACGAATCGACAACGTTAGCGAATCGCTCGAATCGCTAGCGAATCGCTCGAATCGCTAGCGAATCGAGCGAATCGCTAGCGAATCGAGCGAATCGCTAGCGAATCGAGCGAATCGCTAGCGAATCGAGCGAATCGCTAGCGAATCGAGCGAATCGCTAGCGAATCGAGCGAATCGCCAGCGAATCGAACGATGCACCAGCGATTCGAACTAGGTACCAGCGAATCTTGCATAAGCTGAAACTGGGGTGTTAGGTCTAGGTTTAGAGTTGAGTTGATGGGTTCCATCGAGAGGAGGCCTTAGATGAGGCCAAACACACCATCTGATTTTGCAGTCCCGCTATTTAATCTCTTATTTCGCCGCGCGATAGGTAATGACGTTATTAGGGGGGTACTCGTTGACTGGTGGTTACAAGGAGTAATTAAATTATTCGATCATGTCAGTCAATATCTAACACCGTTGGGCTTCATTCAAATTCAAATGGACTACAGTGCCGCGGCAGTAATCTTTGTACATCGGCGTCTTTGATTGATCTTAAATTGATAGAGGATACAGGAAAGTCACTGTAACATGCTGCACTTTGGTTGTATTCATATTGATTTTGATAGCAGTACAGTTGTTTGTTTTCATAGATTTTGAGCGTTATTTGGATTCCATTTACGGTTCGTAATATGAAAGTATTTGTATCGATGCAGTTTTTTTCCCCTTGATCCCGCATCGAAAACTACTGCGAAGAATCGACATGGGGCGCCCTGAAAGTAAGGTTCTAGTGCTAGAAAGATCGAAGATTTATTACATCCTTGAAACCATATACGCTACCTTATCGCGCGAAATGGGGGAGTAAAACGCGAGATGGAAAATTGGAGGTTGTGTTGGCCTCGACAAAGCTCTTTGTCCGAACTAACCACAACCACACTACTACAACCTAGCCTAACTCTAGTTTCCCAGTTATGCAAATTGGCAGTACGTTCGTTCAATTCGCTGTACGCTAGTTCGAAATCGCTGTAGCATCGTTGATTCGCTGGCGATTCGATCAGCAAGATTCGATCGATTACCTTGGCGAATCGCTCGATTCGCAAAGCCATGAACGTGATCTACTTAGCTACTTCATTTTGCCGAGTTACAGTTATGCGTCATTGGCTGGGTGGCATCGCAGAAAAGGGTCGGACCTTTTTCTGGCAGCTCTCACTGAGCACATGTGACAAGTTATTTAACGTATTTACACCTTGTAAAGAATACTGTCTCATATAAATTTGGTCTAGTGTAGAGCGTCTGGGCTTGCGTTAAAAAGCTTAAAGGCAACACAACCCTCTCTCCGTCCAGTTTCACCTTCGCAAAATTTTGTGACCCTATTCGTAATCCAATAACTCAGCTGAAGATCGTGTTTTATTTCGAAAATCCATTCTACATTACACATAGCAATACGAATGAGAAACGGCTATTTAATTGATGGAAATGTAAGGAAGAAGGGCATCATGGTGTACGTGAGCACACATTTTTTGCGGCACCCCGCTACGACTTTTCGACACTTTTCAATTTATAGCCCTGAGCTCGAAACCACAACATAGTTAGACCATATCAGAGCGACATTCTAAAGAAGTCCTGCTTAGCCCTATCAAACGTTTCAGCTGATATTTACCAATGTTCGATATCCAACGACCACTCTCGCAACCTCCGAGGCTCTCGTCATCACCACATAATCTTTCCAAACTACTGCGCAGCAAATGTTTCGTGAGTGCGAGTTTAAATCCATAGTTCATAACATTAGGTGATTCCACTCTTCCGTTCTCCGTCCGATGATGTGAAATCGGGAACAGTATCATGAGACCAATCCTGAACGATTTTTGCCTCTTATGCAGAAGCTGGGTCCTATTGAAAAGATCATCACCCTCTCAAAGTGGCTAGATACCTCAGTAACAGATGGTGCACCGAAATGTCCCTTGGCTCGGTCTAGTATCAAGTTGTATTCCTTTGTAAACAGGCAGTGATGGTGAGCGACCGGTAGTTGAGACCCCCGTCCAGACCATGATAAGGTTCGGCTGCTGCTTGTGGCGAATATTCCTTTACTCTCACAGAACTTCCACAATCCTCATGCGGCACCCTGTCGGAGTTTGAAGATTGTAGCTTCGCTCCATGAGAGGAATTTTATCGATCGATAAAAAATGACCGCGGTATGCTATTTTCGGTCCTTGGCCTGTTCCATCCAGAGTAGTATCTCAGCGGACAACGTTTGAGCGCGTCCCCTAGCTTGAAAGTGCGCGACATCGGGCGAAGCCTCATTCGCGAGACGCGACTACACCTTCGTCGCAACCCCACCTCCGTCGCTTGCTATGTGGGGGCGGGGTGCTGGCTCAAAGAGCACGGCAGCGTCCCATTGCGCCTTCATTGGCACTTCGAGGCAACTTAGAGGTGTGGTTCGTGAAACTCGTCCAACGCGCCCCTTTCTCTATCTCAAGGTGGAATGCGGCTGAAACAGGGGAGGTCTCTGTGCGGGGCGCAATCGGTGGTTTCGTTTGTTTTCCTTCTCTTTTGTACACCACCTCCCACCTATAGCTTCATAACTGAATGCTTTTCCACAGCTGCTGCGAATCGGTGGGCCCAGGAGAGGACCTGCGGGTGGCCAAGGTGGAAACCGGGATTCTAATACGAGGCAAGAGCCTTAGCAACCCAACTATAAGCTTACTTATACTACCGCTTACTTATACTAGATGAACTAACAAGTAAGGAAAAAAAACTGAAAACATAAATAAATTGGCTGACCTTATCCCAAGCATATGTGTGGTCAAATTTTTTGATTTTAATTTTATCTTTTTTACAACTTCTGACCGGTCTTATATCTACCATGAGTGTCCACCACTTGTCTCCAACGCTCAGAAAATTTCTTGATGCTCCTTTGCCAAAACCCAGCGGAGTGCGGGTCGAGAAAAGAGGCGACATCAAGACAATGATTCAGGATCCAGGATAGGTGCTTGTCATTTATACATAGCTCGACCAGGGGAATACGCTAAGAGAGGTAAGAAATCTTGCCGCAACTCCAGAATTTCTTACCGGGCTCATTTCGGATCATGGTGATTCGCAATGTCATGAAAGAAATAAATATTGTCGCGGTACGAGGGCTCTTGACGAGCTGCCTCGGCCAGCTTCTGGAGTTCGCAGCCTAGGCCTCTACCTACACAATGGTGCCCATAACGAAGAATTTGTAGTGGAGCTTCCGTAAGAGCCCTACTGTAATGGAGTGTGCGGGACGCTGCTGGCTTCTTATAAAAATATCAAAAGATCGAAAGCGCTGGTAAAGGTGAAACACGCTGTAGCGGTGAACGGCATGCCTATTGAAGCTATTGCAGATAGTGTTGGTCTTTGACACGAATCCATAGTTTTGGAGACATTTGTACTAGACTCGGAGTATGGATTTGCTAGTCGAGGTTTTTTGAATTTTCTTGGATAACTACTGACTGCAGCACTTATATCCACCTCGTGGATTGAAGCCTCGAGAATGCTCTACCATTTGTTAGTCATAAATGTTACCTATGAATTTTTCAGAAAAAAAATTTAGAAAGTGTTGCAGAACTTTCTTTCCAACCTAATATTGGGAGGTTGAGGGCAACCCATTCGTACTCATCCAGTCCCTTCTCGAAATGCACCACGCATTCTACCCCCATTAGAAATCATAATGGCAATTTGAATGCGATTTACTTTACAATGACTTGCCTTGCAGAGACCTGCTATTTGCAATTCGTTATTTTTATCCTCCCTGAAAAGCCAAGAACAAAGTAGTTCCCGTGGAGGGGAGGAAGGCTTGGTTAGCCGGAGGGACGGCTTGACCCAAATATCACGAGGCCAGCACTGCCTTCAAAGTTCAGGAAATTAGCATTCTGCCTTAACATATAGTACTTCCGATTCCCAAACATTTCTTCAAACTACAGTGCCATACGTCCGGGCCACACAACTTGGTGATTTAGCCATTTCCGTCAGTTTCTAAGGCTTTTGCTTGAGAATTATTTCCTGCAAATCAATGCCACCGCGTAAGATGGATTGTGCGTTATCCATGCCTATGCAAGAATGTTGGCAATCACGAGAAATACTTTCGAACTCTGAGTGCTTTTTTTGTTTTTACGACGGCGTTCGGTGCCAAGCACAATCCCTCAATCTTCGATGTAGCCGCCTGCCGCCTTGCTTTTCCTCGTCCAAATCGGGTGACCACCCGTGGCGCTCAACGCAATGTTGATTTCATCGCCAATTTAGTTTTTTCGCTTTCTGGCTCCATCGGACACACACTGTTTCGTGGCCGTCTCGGCTAAAATATAGTCGTTTTTGCGTCCCATCTGTCGATATCTAGGCCCTCTGAAATCGGAGTGTTATTTCTCATCGACATTGCCTTTGTTTCCACGATTACTGTGTGTAATAAATGTGCACACTCATTTGCAGTTATTTATTCGAATGGAATGGCTCATGGGAGATCATGAGTATCTGAATGAATACTGCGAGCTTGGCGCTCGTTTAGCGTATCTTTGAGATACAGTATGCAATGCACGAGAACAAGTCGAATTCGGTCTATAAATGTTAAGCGATACCAGATACCGCAGTAGTCGCGGTCATCATAGGTACTTACAGAGCAACAAGAGATGGGATGGCTTGCTAGCACCGGAAATGAAGGTAGCCATCATCAAGCACAAGTATAATGTGAGAACATCAATAAAACAAGCCGACTTGACGAGAAAAGACCTTAAAACTCGAAATGGGGATTACTGAAGAAAGTGTGACAACATATCCACAAACTCAACAAACTACACGACTAAAAGTTCAAGATGAAGGTTTTCCCATAAAGAGCGCATCAATCTGGATCCTGTCTCATTTCGGTCGAGGCAGGAACGCATTGCCCTATCATAAATGACGGTACTTGATTGGCTAACAGGGTGGTGGAGGATTCAATTACATTTTGGGCGGAAGCCTTATGCGGACAGGCTTGCAGAACAGCGGAGAGGTTCAGAAACGTCTCGGAGACGTTGGACGGATCCAGAATTGACATCAAGTGTTGGTAACCAATAGCCTGCTGCGTGCATTTCAGGCACACCTCTGCTGGAATCGATGTAAAATTCAATTTGTTCAAAACTGCCAATTAATTGCGGTTCCTGTCCGCTAGACAAGTTGTTAATGATTTTGGCGAATACACTCTGCTATTGCGAAACGCTAATAAGTTCCTTACCGTTTTGTTCACAGCGGTCTGGGAGTGTGGCTCATGGTTAGGCGTGATTCGAGCTGGATAAAGGTGAACTTCGAGGGAAGGTTGCCACTAGACCACCCATGGGTATAGATCCATTTGAATTACTGCGACCGCTGCTAGCAATCGGATGACCCCTTTTTCAATGCAAAAAGCAACTTTGTAGTACTAATGAGTGAGTAACTGACACCTGCCAAGGTAGTTCTTTGTTTGAAACATATAAATATTCTTGTACTGAAATAGCGTCTAAGTGTTTGAAATGACTGAAATCCCAAATGCCTATAATGGAAAGGAGATTTAACTATCCTTCAAAGGCACAACCCAAGCAGAAGTCGTGTGAACGATTCCTTCGGTCTGTAGGATAGACCCCAGGGGACAATCACAGATGTGGCATTCCTGTGCACGGAAATCAACCGACAAGAGCGCTAGGCCTTGCAAAGCAAGCTGCTGCAGCTGCAGTTTTTTACAAGTCTGTTGCCCTCTTATCCGTTTTGCTCTCTTGCCTCATCTCCTCTCTGCGCACAGTCTCTCACTGCCCTAGCGCAGCAGATCAGAAGGTGAGTGAGCCCTTAACCTAAGCGTTTTCGACGAATAATTTTCCCTTTTCTTTACTGCCGCCCATTTGCACCAATACTTTCATTCTCGTGTGCAAGAACCATACCAATTCGATCCCGGGGCATGCCTCTAAGCCCTCCCCTTTACAGATTACTCGGCAATTTCCGCGACTAGGAAGGAAAAAATCAACAAAAAACCAACAGCTGAACAACGAGCTGTTGGGAATCATAATTTAACAGTTTCATGGCAAGACTTTCACAAGGGAAATTCGTCAACGCAGCCCATACCGCCTTCTGGAACCGGGCAAAAATTGAAAATTACAGAAAACCCACTTGTTGTGCCGGCGGGAGTTTGGGGCCTCTCGAATGTGTTGCTTTTCTCGCGCTTCTGCCGTCGTCGTAACTTGATCTGATCAGCCATTAATTTCTGTCGCTCAACGACCACCTGCGTAGAAAAGTGATGAGTACGTGGAAAAACGCCAACATTAGCCTCGAACCACTGACAAATGATTCGGATAGTCATAAATTCACTTTGGTCCAAAAAAAATCACGGACACTGAAAGTGTTCTTGTGGGGGAGACTTCTAACATAGCGAAGAACCACTTATGGCACAGGTTTTGCTCAAGAAATGCAAGTCAAGTTACCATACCTGGCATTTTGGACAGAAACACTCCTTGAATGGGCACGCCCTTTTGTGTCCCTTCAGGGCCATTGAGACATTTGTGCTGTGCACATCGTTGGCAGTTCGGACGACGTTCTTAAAAGTTGCCGTTTCCTCTGGTTTGGTCCCGCTTGCAATGCTTCATTCTTCGAGACTCGTAAAGAGCTCGGAGAATCATTGCGGCAAGAAAAACTTTGAAAAATTTCTTTACGAGTCCCGAGCTCTAATGATGGAACATAAAATAGTTGTACGATAGGGGAAGACAACAAGGAGGTACTTTAACGTACGATTACTACAAGGGAAAAGAAGCAGGAAAAGTCGCTTTGGAAAACTTCCAGTAAATCAGTTAATTGCGGAAAATCAAGGGATTTCTCTTTGGTACGTGAAAATTTGGGAGCACATTCACAAGATCTCGAAACTTTTCAACAGCAAATATCGTAATGTACGAAATCTAATGCTTATAAATAAATAAAGAGTTAGTAAGGAAATGAAATTTCGGAGAGCCCTTTTTTTTGGAACACGAGGTCGGACGATCAGAGTAACGACGACAGGGTTGTGAAAATGTATAGTAATTGCCAATTCACTTTCACCGAACCTCACAAATTGGAGACCTCCTCTTTTTCTATTCTAAGAAGCTTCACTCCAAACTAAAAGCTCCAGCAACTCACGCAAATGCTTCCAGCTAAAGCAACAACCACAAGAACCTTTGAAACTAGTTTACGATTGCGATAATCATTATTTTGACCCCTGCAAAAGGAAGAACAACTTCTCTCTGCAGAAAGAGATGCGTGTAGACTTGATTTCAGTTAAAAGAAACGGATCTTCGGTCAGACTAGCCAAGTATAATGGGATGTGCAGAGCTGGACGTGATTTTGAACGCTGATCTCGAATCTGGATTCCCATTCGAGACGTCCTCTGAACGAAGTTGTGAAGAGACGTACAGCAACGGTGATGGCTGCGGCCCACAGAATGAGTTAAATTTCTTGAAGGATTTTGAAACCAAAAACTTGCCCGTAGAAGTAGTTCGAATGCGAGCAGGAATCACACTCGATCATTGCAAAAGTGTCAGGAGTCCGCGCTATGAGCCCAGTAGGCAATCGTGGGCAAATGGAGCCGAGATTTTCGGAAATTCCCCGTGAAGTTGTCATGCATTAACTGTGTGCAGGTTAGATGTAGATTTGGATTCAAAGAAGCCTCCAGCAATCCCAGTAGAGAAAAAGCAGCAAACTCGGTCAAAAAGCCGACAAATACTCTCGCGATTGAACTACTGCTACGTTGTTGGTTATCTGTGCGATTGCCTCAGACTACGTTGAGTAATCTGCTGCTGCAGATTAAGATCAGAACCAAGGTCCAAACTATCTAGGTCGATGGTCTCATTACAACTGGGCACGTCGACCTGAGATCCTCCCTCGTTGTTAGCCTTCCCGTGTAGCATTTAACTTGCGAATTCGCTAATGAGCTGAGCGGGTTCTTTGTGAATACCTCTCTCGCTGAGTATTTTTATTTATTATATACTCATGTGAGTGCCACTGATTGTTGAGCACCAGACCAAAGCCATAAGCACGGAAATTTGAAAAAAAAGTAAGTAAAAGTAAAGGTATAAGGCCAAGCTGACGAGGATTGTCCGCAGTACGTGCCATGTCGGCAACTTAAACATTAATCTTTTCATTAATCTTGATATGGTAATCTGGAATGCATTACTTTTTTGAATCAAAGTTCTCTGTAGTTTTCAGAAGATTTATGAAGTGAACGAGTTTCATAAAATACCCAAAACGGTACAGTTCATAATTGCCCTCTGCTACTGCGCAAAGACTAATCCCAACAATGTATGCGTTGTCCAACGCTGGAGGCTGTGGAGGGAGTGGAGGAAGAGAGTTCCTAAATATTACACCTATAATTTTTTTGCCTGAGCCAGGATGAGCGAAACAGTGCTGCGGTTGCTAGCTCTTGCTCCGGCATTGCTCCCGCCAACGATAAATCTTCCGCCGTCCGGAACTGTGAAAGAAGTAAAGCAATGCCAATAGATTCTTATTAAAGGATAAAGCATTTGCCGTTGATCAATCCCTTTTTGGGATGCGGCACGCATTCTACTTCCATTTGTACATTCGTAGTGGCGTTCGATGTTTTATCCTCCCAGACAAGTCTGGTACCAATTAACCGACCCCGGAGGGATGGAAGGCTTGGTTGGCCCGGGCGACTCACGACCCAGGATTTGATCCCCGGACCGCTCGCGTGGTAAGCGTGCCACTTGCCACTACACCACTTCCGCCCAGTTTCTACATTATCCCAGCCAATCAATCACTTGATTATGATTGCAATGTTTCGATTTCTGAGCCTTCAGGCAGTTTTCAATTCGTGACTCTACTTAGGCTCATCGGTTTCTTCTCAGGATATCGTGGGTGTCTACACGTCCGTTTGCATACGCAAACCTCTAGCCAATTTCACAGAACTGTTCAATCCTCTTAGGTTTGCAGTTCGAAACTTGAGCCACTTTCCAGACAATCGGAATCGAATCTATTGATGCCGCTATGGAATTGTTGAAAAGTGGGTAGTTTTTTTTTACGTCGCATCTTCAAATGCACAATTCACCTTTGCAAAAAAGTGTCGTCATTTCTTTCGATATCTCCCATGTATTCGAGTTTCACTCAGAATTACGTTTGTATTTGAATGCGAACTGACATAAAAATGATTCTTGGGTCCACCTAGTCTGGACCACTAGGCCTTTCGAAGGAATAATTGACTGGGCGGCGGGATTCTATTCGGTATTTTACCCCTGGACAGTGTTCCGAATTAGTCACCTACCACTACAAATACCTTGCTAACTTTATGCAATCCTTTATGTATGTTTTTTATAAATCTGTCACACGGGTTCCGTAATATACGGACCGACACGCGATTCTCATCGAGAAATGCCCACAGCAACCTAGCATGGCCGTCGCTGCGGCGCAATTGCTGTTGGCTCGGTACGCCCCTCCCGCGTCGTCTCGTGTTTTAGTCTCTAGCTGTTTAGCAGAGAGACCGTTTAGCGTAGGAGAGGGCAGCAGTGATGAGAGTCGCATCCATGCGCAAATCAAAAGGCAAGCGATTGTCCCCATTCCTCGAGTTTTAGGCCATTTCTCTTGATTATTCTTCTCTCTCGTGCGTTACTAACCATCTCTAACTTAATTTTCATTGTGATGACTTTTCATCAAAAAATCCGCCATCAAGCTGGTATTTCGACAAGCGCGCAGAGCGGATATCCACAGCATATGTATGAATTACCTAACCACGTGGAGACTTCTCAACTCCAGGCAAATTTGGCAGCGGCATTGAACAGCTCATAATCGTTGCCAACGGCACCTGTCAAAAGCTGTTGGCGGTCCATTTCACAATGACAAGTGTCGGTAATAATACCAACGAAAGAAACTCGACGATTGTTGGGCGAAATGGACACAGCTGTCTTTTCCAATTCATTTCCTACACCTTTTTAGGGAGTTCTTTGCAAAGCAGCTGACTAGCCGATGTTCATCCCAATAACTCGAGTGTCACAGATTGGCGTTATAGATCTCACCGACTATTAATTCTTTCACCGGAAAAAATGTGAGGCAAGAGTTCAAGAGGTAAAGATGATAAAGCATCCAGCGCCGATGCAATCCTTCCCTTGGATACGCCACGCACTCCATCTCCACTCAGAATCGTAGTGGCGTTTTAATGCCATTTGGCCTATAACGATTAATGTGATAGGTACCCAGCTAGCTTGTATCCAAGTTCCGATACTTAATATCGCAGCCCCCCTAATCTCAACCAATTCTAGTGCCAGCTATCCGAAGTCCCATGAAAGTTTCGGTTGGCCGGATGGCGTGCGCGCCTTTGATCCCGAGGCGCGTAGCGGCAACAACTACAACCACATCCCTTCCATCCTGAGAAATGGTGAAGGGGAAATAACCCTCAGGACTTCCCGGTAGCCAACCTGAAGTCCCATTATCAACGACAGAACAGGGAGGATGCCGCTGGGAAATGCGACAGCTGAACAGGCTTTAATAATTATCGTCCTGGAAAGTATTGAAGAAATGCTCCACTCAGGCAAGTTCTTCCAAGTAAACGTTTGCGCCAACGACGAATTGGTTACCCACGGTTTCAGTATAGTATCCAGCGCCGCTGTGATTGACTAGTAAATGGTCAATTTCGTAGGAACGAAGAATTCTTTGAACTGTCATTGAAGCTAGTGATTGAATGTAATAATAAAAAATGCGTGAATATGTCGATTCAGTGGTATTTTAGATACACGAGCTGACGCTAGTTGACTCCAGCGCTATTGGGGAGGCTTCGCCTCTCAGAAATAAATATGCATTGAATAACGATTAGCACGAGATGGAGCAAAATTTCCTATATAAAATCAACGCTGAGGATAAAATTGTTGAAACAATGTACCTTTAACTTTGACAGCGGTATCTTCAACTCCGCAAGGCGATTCTGTGGAACTCTGATGGCCTGGCTCACCTTCGATTTGCACGAGACGGCTGTTCAATTCTCGCCTTCGCTCCACCATCTCAACTAATTCTATTAGACACGGCACACGAGCGCATCCGCTCAAATGCTAACAGTTCGAACGAAACAACTACTTCCGTGGTATTCTTCGGGAAAACTCACAATGCAATCAGAGCACTGGCACATGCTGTACGCGCAGTTCTGCTTGTGGTTCTTGCGTTTCACGCGAAGTCCGTGATTGAGACACCGCTGACAGTAGTAGACCCGCTTCTCGCCAAACAATTCCGGCACAATATCCTCGATGTTCATCTGTCATCAACTAAATTATAGGCTCATTCTTTCAAAATCAGTGGTACACTTTAGTTTTGACTTGATTCTGGGTTGTTGGAGGGCGCTTTACTTATTCCTAGCTGTGCAAAAAGTTTAGCCCATTAGGTGACGTCAGATGTGTGAGGTCCGTGGAAAGGTAAGTAAAACCCGAGAACCCTAAAGGAAACGTCGAGAATTTGCAGAATGATTCAAGAAGAACTAACTGAGAATAACTGTGGCCAACGAACTCTTGTCTCGCTATGAAACTACGGTAGCCCCGCCCCTTTCTGACTGCCTATTGGACAGCGTAAAGAGTATAGAAATCGAAATATATTGGCGTACGCGGCCTCAAAGGCGGTCACAAAAAAGCAGCGGCAATGGACGGAGGCGAAGAAGCCGAATGGTTAACTGAAAGGCGCTACTAGCCATGCGTAGAAAGCAGGATTAAATTTGAGAAATTGCGATCAATTCCTACCTTAAGGTCACAAAGCTCACTTCGTAATTGCATATCATTCTCATAGAGATGAACGGGATGAACCAATGGCTGCCGTGGGCGTCAAAGCGTCATAAATCCAGCTGAATAATAAAGAACTAATAATAAAGGAAGAAAACAAAACGAAAGTGAATTAGAGGAATCATTCCACAAAAATCTACCATAATAATTTTCGTCCGAAAAAAAAGAAAAACATTGCAAATATTCAAAGTAACCGACAAAAACTGAGACAGCTTCAACAGTGAAGCATTTGGACTTAAAGCCTATCCGCATCAGAAGGTCATGCATATTCCTCTGAATTCGTAAATCCTGAGGTCAACGAGAATCGCTTGCAAAATAGTATCACTCGAAAAAATGAATGCAGAAAGCCTCTGTGCAGAAAG